CATCAGGAGGCTGAACCCTCAACAGTCTGCAGAATCCCCTCACAGATTACACTGTAAATGATAATCTACCTTAACCAAAATCAAAGTAGACTATCACTCACCCACACCAGATGGAAAACTCTATATATATTTTCGATGGCCAAACTTGGACGGGACGGAACCACTTCCTTTTTCTTGCGGATCGAGCTAAACAGGCATTAGCTAAAATGGTTCTAGAACCCGAATGGGAAGCCCGTTTTGAACCTCACTCTTATGGATTTAGGCCAGGACGTAGTTGTCAAGATGCCATGGAAGCTCTGGCTAGAGCCATTAGAGCCATATTTGCCCTGAACTCGAATCCACAGCATATATTGATGGTCTGCCCACATCTCTCCCACACGTGACAAGGCCATCCCTCTCATTTTAGCTGGCCCTTAATGGCTCCACCTGTATTGTAGGAGCCATTCGAGATACCAGCAGGGGGCCTGGAATTGACGAGAAGGGGACCCTTTGTTGTCTCTCTCTCTTCTCTCGTTCTCTCTCTCTCTCTCTCTCTCTCTCTCTCTCTCTCTCTCTCTCTCTCTCTCTCTCTCTCTCTCTCTTGCAGCCTTACATTTTTTTTTTTTCTCTCTCTCTCTCTCTGTTTCTCTCTGTTTTTTTCTCTCGCGCACACGCCGCAACTCCCTGCGGACACACTGCGTACTGCGCACAGTGCGCGCGCTGTCGTTCCAGCGCAGCGCAGTGCGCACCGCCCCGCCCCGCACTGCGCACTGGTGCGCCGCAACTATGCTGAGAAGCATATAAACACAGCAAAGCCTCTAGTGAATTATAGTGTTCCATCCTCCTGTCTCACATTGGACAAAGACAAACACCTGTCTATTACAGCAGCTCTGTGGTCTATCAGACGGCACAATGCCAATCTGAAACTGGTCGCATTTCCATTTTGAAAATGTGGCCGATTTTGACTGCTGATCTGCAGATCACAGGCTAAAGTCTGCACCGTTTTCAAATTGATGAACCGGGCCCTGTTGGACCCCGCGTCTTGGAGAAAGCATGTGGAAGTGGGGTCCAAAAGGCCCCGTTTTTTTTTTTTTTTTTTTTAAGGAGGCAGTAGCCTCCCGGGGACTCAGCAATTGCGGGAACGCCAGGGGATCTCTGGTACCCCCTGCCCCAAGCGTGATGCGCTGCGTTCGACCGGGGGCTTGCCGGACCGGTTGACCGCCCGGTCCGACCGGCAGGGCCTCAGGTCCAACCGGGACCAGCCCTGGGTAAACCCATCAACAAATAGGGCAGAACCACAATGTCAGTGAGTTTATCATTGTAGCCCAGTGATCGTTCCGCGGCCAGATGGAACCGAACCGGTGACCTCAGCTTTAAGAGCCCAATGCCTTTACCACTGCAATGGTGACCCGATCTTCAAAACCAAAACCATACTGGCCGTGGCACTCAGCCCACCCCAGCACCGTTGCAGCAAAAACCACAGGCTCATTAAAAAAAAAAGGGACACAGTAACACAAAAGAAAGATTGAACGGCTACGATTTGCCCTCAGCACGTGGAGCCACTTGTTCATCATGTGTCTCGCAAACATTGCATGGCCCTTTTTTTCCCTAACGAAGACATATGATGGATGCTTTCTGGCACATACATGACCTTTTCCTGATTCGGATGCTCGTCTCTTCAGTTTCTGAATGTGGATGCTCAGACAGCTGGTCATATTCCTAAATGCATGACTGAAAAAACAATAACAAGTAATCCTGTTTTCCTTTTTTGGAAGTCTTTCCCCTTTCCCGGGGGAGAAAAAGTTTTCCCCGTTTCCGAAGGCAGAGTGAGCCAGTACCCTAACAAACAAAAAAGGACAACAAGGTGTTCCCTGAGATGGTTCCCCACTCGTCCTGTACCGCGTGTCCTATGGTGAACAACACGTGTGTGGAAGGCTCTAATGCCTGCAGTTGCTATTTGAGAATCCTGTACTATTACCCCCTCACCCTCACCATGAAGGAGAGACGCATACTGCCAAGGGAAGCTCTAAGCACACTGCCAAAACTCTGAAAACAAGCAGGACAAAATTGCCAATTCAATCATCGCTTCCACTTTTCAGCGGGCTGACATGTGCAACAATTGGAATCGGTGTAGAACAGACAAGAGAGAGAGAGAGAGAGAGAGAGAGAGAGATTTTCCCTCAAGTTGTATATGAACAGGAGGAAGCTCCAAGTGCACTATCAGGTCCCAAAAACCTGAGGGAAAAGGTTTACTGATCTGGGGATAGTTTCTGGTTTAGGGGTAAGGTAGCATGCACTAACTATCGGAATCAACAGAGGGACAAAGAGCAGTGCACTGAGAGAG